TATATTTTTATATGAATAATTCGGCGATCAAAAGGGTCTAATTTTGAGTTAAATGAAATCTTGATAAGGTGAATAGAGCGATGTTCTGTGATTGTGAGCGTTGATACCTCCGACATGCTTGGATCTACTTCAATTTCCTCATTACAGAATTCGTTATAGTATTCACACGAGATCCTTTCGGTAGCGGCAAGGTGCAAGCCGCTAATGAAACTCATCGCTTTTCCGCGCTGCACGGAGGGTATCGGGAATCTGTGGGGATGTGGCAGTCGCATGCTTCCAGTCGCATACGCAGAATACAACGCGCTTTGACCCGCGGAATATCACGTAACATCAAACTTGACGTCAGTCAGTCGTCAGTAAAGTCCCCATTCCGGGGCCGTTACGTTCACCTCAGGGGAGACTTCATCGATTAAGACTTTTGGCCGATATTTTTTCAAGCTGCCTATTGTTGGAATTTCTGGCACTGAGAAGATATATTTTTTCCAGAAGGGAATTAATTTCCAGGTCGTTGTATTTCCTATCACCGATGTTCAGATGAACTAAAACCGAATTTTCTTAAGCTTATTTGCAATGTAAGTAAAAGGGACCAGTGACATGTTCACTATAATTGAGGGTTCACTGTATCCGAGTTCACTACAACAGGAGTCTACTGAAATAATCTAAGTCATTAAAACACAATAATTTATCAACATATTCAGTCTTCAGTGAGAAAAGGTTGTAATTAGGACTCCAAACATAAGTGGAATATACTCTATTTTAAACTGTATCTGTCAACTTCAATTTCTAAAATAAACTTTAAATGATGGATGGATAGGGTGCTTGTGGGGTTGGAGGGAAGGGGAAGGGGGTAAAAGGAGAGAAAGGAAATTTCGACGGGATGAAGTGGAAAAAAAAAAGGTAACAAATGGAGACATTGTACTATATAAACAGCTGTCGTATACATTAGTGAAATAATTACATTCTACCATTGAATTCATACTTTTTTATAATTTTCAGAAACTATTCAAGGAAATTTTCTAGTTTCAATATCAACAATAATAACATTTTCAAAGTCCAATTGGTGACTGTTTTTATCGTATTAGTCACGGTCGAATTCTGTTTATTGGAAGATTCTCTAATATTTCTATCATGGTCTTTTGTTCTTGTTACTAATTTCCTTTTGGTCTGTCCTATGTAACATTCATCACAATTTTGACAAGCAGTCCTATAAACAATATTATTTTTTCCTTATAAAGGGATGACATCCTTCACATTTTTAATTTCATTTATTTTATTTTATATCAGATGTATGTGAATTTAACAAAAACAATTTATTAATCGAATTTTTCATTGAATCTATTTTTTATGGCTTTGTGGAATCTATTAGTAATTTCCAGAACTAGGGAAACATTACAATAGTTGTATTATAATTTAAACATTATTTCTATTTATGACATCATTATCAAACATTGTTTGGAACTTATTAATAAATTTTCTAGGATAATCATTAGATATTAATTGGTTCTCAATTTATTTAGATTACATTTATGGTTCTCTTCCTGCGAAACATGAACATCATTCTATTTATCATATCATAAATCAAACCAATTTTCATTGCGGTCAGGTGTCCAGACTTGTAGAGCAATGTACGTCCAGTGGCTACAGATTTTTGGTTCCTATCAGTTTTATTGCATTGTTATCTGAAGTGATTTTTATATCCGAATAATTTAAGTAAGCATTGTTTTCTAGTTCAAGGGTGAATTGAATTTTTGGTTTGTATTTATTGAAAATTTCTAATAACTAGTTAGCTTTATCTTTATGTATTATAAATAAAATGTATGTTTGTTTTGGGTCAAATAATACCTTCCATTCTCATAACAAGTTCAGAAAATAAGGAGCTAAGAGAACCTATCTGGTGAAAAAGTACATTATCGAATGTGAATTTAATATTCACCAAAGTACAACAGACAAAAAAAAATTTCATGTTTGTTTGGGATGGAGATCAAATAATTTTTAACAAGGGCTTCACCTAAAACTCCCAATGATACGGTTATGTGGAATGTTGGGAAACATCCAATGATTTATTTCAAATGAACTGATTTTCTATAATGATGTGGAACCTGATTAATATAATTCCAATGATATCATTTTGTATGTGTAGTAGATGGGGAATCTGACGATGAATGGTCATGTTTTCAGCATATATAACCTTCATGCCTATAAATCCTTCTAATAAAGTGGTGTACATTGTTGTTCTTAGCCAAATTCCTATAATGTAAGCATTCGTTATTAATTTAGTTCTTTGCTATGAAGCCAGTGAAAACGAAATACACGAGAGATTCTTAATGTTTTGAATGGAAGCGAGAGAGAGAGCGAGCGCGAGAGAGAGCGAGAGAGAGAGCGAGCGCGAGAGAGCGAGAGAGAGAGAGCGAGCGCGAGAGAGAGCGAGCGCGAGAGAGAGCGAGCGCGAGAGAGAGCGAGCGCG